GTTAAATAAATTGCACATTATTGTCTATTGGGTTGCACTTTTCAAATTTTGATATTTTCTTATATTATATTTTCAACCATAAACATTATAAAAATACTAAACATGAATATTAAAATATGAAATGTACTTTATAATATACATAATAAATTATTTTAATTCTTTAATGTAATCTGATTAACCGGTCGAAAAAAATCCAACATTTAAGTTCGATGTTAGTTTGGTTTGTGACAATCATTCTGGATGTTTGTGTTGTAAGCGCACAATATAGGTAGACGAATAGCACACTAATGACTATCACATTGCACATTATGGACAAAATCTGACCGAACTAAAATTCTATTCGAACTTTTAAATTTCGATTCGATAATATGTTCTTCGATTTAGATTATCAGTTATTTAAGTTCAATGTTGGTTTTATTCTTCAAATAATCAAAATGAGCAAACTAACCGAATTATAAGAACATAATGTTTTTTATATATTTTTTTTTTATGTTTTTCGAGTGCACAATAGTGTTAGACACATTTCACATTAAAGACTATGAGATTGCACCGTATCGATCAATATGTACCAAACTAAAATTTTTCGAATTTTATTTAAGTTCAATTATCTAGTTTTTATTTTTTAAAAATAAATTATTTCATTTCGATATCGGTTTTATTTATTAAAGTAACCGAATTAACAAAATAAGCGAATTATTTAAAATTTATTACTATTATTATTATTATTGATATTTTACATATTTGTGTAAAAATATTATTTACTTCTAGTCATACATATATAAAATGAATAATATTAAACAATAAATAAAAACATTCAAATATTAATCATACCTTAATTAATTACAAATTTGACCCATATACTAAATTGAAATATATTGAAATTTAGAAAATTGCAATTGAACCCCTATGATTTATCAAATTTTCAACACATAGCCCCCCTTATTTCTCCTCCCCCAACCACCGCACGCTCCTGTAACTCTTCCAATGGCAGATCTGGATTACGTTCGACCGAAGCCTGTGGATGACGTGGCGGGCGCGAAGATTGGCGGAGTGGACGTCGTCTTCTCCGGCGAGGCAGAGCGCGATCGATTGAGCCCAGCAGGTGATGGCGGCTGAGGCCTGGTCGCTGGCCTTGCGTGGATGTTGCCATCGGCGACTGCTGTCGGCGGCTGTCGTCGGCGTCGAGGTGACCGGCAATGTTTTTGGCGGCGGCGGTACTGTGGACGGTTGGACGGCGGTTCGTTTGAGCTTGTGTGTGTGTGTGTGTTTATGTGTGTGCAGGTGTGTGTGTGTGTGTGTGTGTGTTTATGTGTGTGTGTAGGTGTGTGTGTGTCGTGCAATGTGTGTGTGCGTGGGTGGGTGGGGAAGACGATGAGGGTGGGGGAGGGGTAGGTGCGGTGAAGATAATTATGTGATATTAAATGTTGGTAGTAGTGGGTCCCACTAGTTGTTGAGTTTCAATTAAAATATCCAAACTACCCTTAATTATTGGTCAAATACACATATTTGACCACAATGTGATCAAATAATTACTAGATTGCCATTAATGAATGACCATAGTTTGACTTCATCATAGCCATTGATACGATCGATCCAACTGTCTATATTTATTCTCATTTCTTTCACTATGACTCATTCTTATTTGAGTGCACTTCTATATATATATATATATATATTTCATTTGGAATATAGTATATAAAACTTGACTTTTTTAATACATTCATTTTTTAAATATTAACTAACGATCTTTACCTTTCTTTAATTATTACTAAAGTAGAATATAACATATTTTTTAAAATTAACAAAGTACAAACTATTAATCTTTTGGTTTTTGGAAAATAAGAACGTTTTTTGGAAAATAAGTAATTTTAATTGAATCAGACTAGTAATTACCTCAACTATGATTATAACGTGTTTTTTTATATTGTTTTAAGATAAGGTATTTATATTTTTTTATTAACAAAATAGAAACTATTATGATTAATGTAGCGAGGTAACATATATATTTCACTTGGGCTAATTTTTTAGTCTGTTTAATGTTATTCAAAATTAGTATATAAGGCAAGCATTTTCAACATTAATCATCAAAATAGATCTTTTAATTAAAATTTAAATTTCAGTAAAATCTTATTATGTACATTTCATTTCAACAATTAATTATTATTTTCTATTCGAATTAAATCAAGTCATCTGAATAAAATGTGGTTTCATAATAAAACTAAATTAGATTCAGTTGCAGAAACTCATAACTATAACACATTTTTTAAATCTGTTGCAAAATGTTTCTAATACGGTAATTATGGCACCGATACTAATCCGTTGGAAAATTTTGTTACTAATGCACCAAATTCTAGTAATATATGCTGACGCACCTATTCGTGCTAAAAGGTCTCTTACTCAGTTTTTGTCAATCGAGCACGTCCCGGAATGCGTCTTTTGATGCCTTGAACCCCCTGGGGATATATTAGAACATCTATAAACTCCCATGAAGTGAAATGGTTACATAGATATAAATTTTAAGAGCATGTAGCATCCTTTAACATAGTTCACTAAGCATCTTGTATTCTTTGTGTTCGTTTCTATCTTGAGAATTCTGAAACTTGAGTATTGTTTGCTGAAAGTTTGTGTATTTCAGTTACCGTTGTACAAAAATCAAAAGATGTTGTATCTTGGAGACGTTAGCTGTGAACCGTGAGTACTATATGGAACTATTTGTATCTTAAATGTCTCGACTTTATTCATTTTATCGTTTTTCTTCTAATTTCTTGTCATATACTTGAGATTCACAAAAACAACAAATTATGCAATCTTAAGATAAAATATTTGTTAGTTCATAAGATGGCAACTGAAGTAAACGAAACGTATTCTTCAAAGGCTCCATCGACCACTACATCAGCCACTAGTCCATTTACTCCGATGGTAGTCGCTCCCGGTGAGAGGTCTTCGAAGTTCAACCGCTCTAATTTCATGAGGTGGCAGTAAAAGATTATTTCTACCTCACATGTCTCTCTTCCTCTCTCGTTTTCTTTTAGAGGACCCTTTGATCATTCTCGAAAGTGAGACCGACATCCAAAAACATATGGCCTCGAATGTCTGGCATCACAATGATTTGTTGTGTAGAAACTCAATACTTAATGGATTAGATAACACACACTATCTATTGTGTATAGCCTGGTTAACACATCTAAGGATGTGGAACTTTTTGGGAACAACCAAAATAGAAGATAATGACACTAAAAGATTTTCTCGATAAATTGCTAAGTACGATATGATTGACACAAAGTTGGTGGTTAATTAAGTTCAAGAGATTCAAATTATCCTTCATGATATGTTGGCCGAGGGATTGATTATGAGTGAAGCCTTTCAAGTGGCGACTATTGTTGAAAAGCTGTCTCTTTTGTGGAAGTCCTTCAAAAGTTATCTCATGCATAAATACAAAAAATGAAACTCGAGGATTTGATAGTCTGTCTTCGTATAGAAGATAATAAAAAATATGAAGTATTGGCCAAACAGAGCGAGATAGAGGCTAAGGTAAATTTGGCCAAGTCGAGTTCAAGAACGAAGCGTAAAAATACTTTTTCTGGCAAAGCGAGATGGGAGGCCAAGAAATCCGAGGGATGGTGTTACGATGGTGATGAACCTGGGCATCTTGCCGAAGTTTACTAAGTTTCTGAAGAGCGGTAAAGGATAGTGAGAATTGTCGAAAACAAGATAAGACTTGTCAGAGCTTGATCTTTCCATCGTGGTTTGAGTACATACTTGATTAAAATTCCACATTTACAGTGGATAAGAACAAGAGCCACTCAACCCATAGGCACTTATAAATGTTCCCTACAACCCTAACTACGGAATGAAGTATTTGTGGAATTCCTCAATTTCAAGTGTTGAAGGAACCAACAAGATGGTGTGTTAAGAATAAATATTGGAGATCGACATCCATAAGAATCTAGTTTTTGGACCATTGACTAAGTAAGGCCAGATTTAAATTATTTTATGATTATCAACGAATATTTTATGTCAAAATATGATGTATTCTTAGCATAAATAGACCTTAATAAAAGTCATTTTGCACCAACTCGGGCATGGATACATACTATGTAGTTCCAAACAAGTAGGGACTTGAACTCATGTTACACACAAACTTGGGCATTATTAACCTATTTACACCAACTTTCTTTGTTATTATTCTTTTTTAATTTTGAATAATACAGATAATATTGGACACATGTCATATATTAGGTATCAGGTTATTTATTTTGAAATGAAAAACACTTAAGCAAAACACATTTTCACTCTAAATTGCTTTGTTACAGCCCATGCAAGAAATCAATGCACAATTTTGATTTCAAGAAAAATGATGAAAACGGAGAACTGCAAAACTAAACAACATTGCAACAGTGTAACTTTATAGTTCTGATGCTGAGTTCATAAAAAGAAGCATTAAATTGTAAAAATGATAGAGAATAATAACAAATCATCATGAATTCATGAAAGTTGAATTTAAATTGAATTCATATATACATAATAAAATAACAATAATGTGCAGTAATATTTACACCAAGACCAACATGCAGAGTACAAATAAATGAATCTGAATGCCATGATGCTCAACAACATGAAAAAGAACTAGATACAAAAGGTAACAAGTTCAACAAAATCTCTAAATAAAAACTACATATGTACAAAATTTCATCTCCTCATCCACCTTCACGATGAACGTCGTTCGATTTCGCATCTCGAATTCGTTTCTCCTTTCAAAGTATGCCGGCCTACCTGTTGGAATGAGAGTAGAAAAAAACCATCAATAAATCAGCTTCATATACATGCAGAAATGAAATTAGTTACTGTAAACCTAAATAATTATAAATCATACAATTTAGCTAAATATGTATTGTATTTGTATCTACCTAATCAATGCCTCCTCATTTGTTCCCTGACCAGAGGGCACGAGGACTCATGTCTCCAAGTCGACTCTCGAGACCCATTTTTTAAGCAACCTTTCACCCGACTTTCACGACACGCCTCAAATTCTTCTCACTTGCCACGTCTAAGGATGACGTTACTACAGTCAACGTGACTTCCTGCATGAAAGCATATACGCGTTAAGAAAAAATTGAAACTTGCACAAAAAGCAATCATATAGAAATGTATAATCTGCAACACATTACATGCACTTAGAGGTAGTTTTCTTGAGAATGGAGGGCCTGAAGCACAATAGGATTGTGATAATCATTCAAGTTCCAAGTAAGCACGTCGAGTAGAGGAGTCAAGCCGCAGGTGAACAACCACCCGAATGGGCCTCACTTTCTTGTTTTCTTTGCCTCATAGTATTTCTCCTTGCGCTTGGGAGAGCCAGTCCCGAGCGAGAGAACCAAGAAATGACCTTGATCGTTTGCAAAGAGGCTGCTATTTTGTTGTGTTTGCATCTTGTCCTTTATGATTTGTTCTATTGCAAACAAAGTCTAAGATGAATACAAAAAAAAAAGAGTGTGTTTTTCTCATTTTGGTTAAGTGACTTGGATTCTATTGTATACTATTTATCTTACTGGGTTATTAGCGAAAACACCGCCATCGATTTCGAAGTAATCCACGGGCAGATAAGTCAGAGCAGCTGAAGTCCCTATGCGTATATTCGAGAGTGGCGCATTCAAGCTCGACCAATTATTCCCCTAATTTATCCCCAAAAAAAAATCTAACTCATGCGCTGTCCCAAGATTCAAAACTAAACAGAACACATAACAGGGGAAGATAACAAAAAA